TCTCCAAAAGCACATTAAAGTTGCAAGGTCAGGCACTTAAAAGTTAGGAAAATATGTCAGAATTAAGGCAGTTTGCTTGKCTGTGATTTGTTCCTCCCACATGTGTGCAAACCATGATCCAGGTTTTAACTCCAGCAGCGTGGATTATTTTTTTCCAYGTTGGAAAGCATGGAATTATCCAGTGGTGTCTGCTGCATTCCTTCTCAGTTAGGAGGATATGTACCTTTTATCTCAAATCTCTCTGAATATTAAATATTATACCTACACTAGAAACCACATAAAATAAAAAAAAAAGCCAAAACTGTGACAAAATATAAAGTTAGGCATTAGCAGCACTATGGCAAAAGCAGAGAAGGAGTAAATAATCTCTGTGGGGACTATTCCTRCTTTTCTGCACCCAAACCAAATCCTCCTGAAGCTGATGGGAGCCAATGGGATCACATTAAATCAGATTTGTTTCCTGGTGATGCATTAAATCAGACTTCTTTCCTGGGCAGGAATTTTGGGGCTGCACCCCTGCAACTGAACCTTTCCTCAGTGGTCCTGGCATTCCCTGAGCTGGGAAAAAAAAACGTGTCTGAGCACAAATACACCTTCCCATGCTGCTCTGAGTCTGAAAGGGATTTTGGGGTTTGCTGGTTGGACTGAATGATTGCAGCAGAGATAGTCCAGACTGGGTGATCTCACTCCTGGGAAGAATTGGACAGACTGAAGGGAGTGAAAAAATAGACAGAAAAATAGCAGAGGGACTGAAGGGAGGGAGCAGCAGAGCTAAAACACAGTTTTAGTAAAAAACAACTCCTGCAATGGTAGCAAGACTGGAGATAATTGGATGGAGAAAATATCCAGGAAGAAATGCAGTTATTTCGGTTGTTAACCAGAGTAAAACTAGAAATGAGGAGATGCAGTTTAAAAGGGAAATATCCTGATAAATCTCAGGAAAARCTGCCTTCCCACAAAACCCACCGGGCTGAACACCCTCCCCAGGGCACTGACAGTTGTTTGGCTCACTGAAAACTACTCTGGACAAAGCATTAATAACCCTGGAGCAGGGAACATTCCTGCCTGGGGAAGGAGATGGATTAGATGGCCCACCAGGTCTTTTCCATCTCCCTGCTCCATAATAAAGTAAACCCCAAGCACACACTGAATTACAGGGCCATAATTTCATCTCCAGGCTCCAKGGATCCACAAGCCACCCAAACTTTGCTCCTGTTGTTTATAACAGCACCAAACCCCCCTGATGGAATTATTGTGCTGTAATTCACTGCTGTTTGTGAGTCTTCTCATACCCATCCTTATGTCCTGTGTGACAGAACCACAAATCAACAAAGAGGAGCTGGGAACATCTGCAGACAGGGGGAAAATGGGCTGGACTGAGGAAACACGACACATTCAGCTCATTTCTGGGAAGTCAGGAATACAGGAGGGGGTTTGGGGTCAATCAGTGTCACCCATTCAGCAAAATATTTTACTTCAGCCTTTCCCTTTTATTAAAAAAAAATGTAGTCAGTGTGACAGCAATGGAAATAAATAATATTTTGGGATCATTTCCACCATCCTGCAGCCTCCAAGGAAACTGCCAGGCATTGGGGCACCTCTTCTGCCTCTGCCAGGCATTCAGTCCTGGTCACATTCCCCTTCAGCCTCTTCTGTAACTTTCCAAAGTTGTAGCAAAGAAGGAAAAAAGCATCAATGGGAACAAATAAATGGCACAGCCCGTGGTCACGGCACCACAACCTCACCTGCTCTGGTGGAACCCCCAGTTCTGCCAGGGCTGCCTCAAAAAACATTTTTGATGGTTTCCCCACAACCTCGGCTTGGACATCACAAGCGTACTGGGAAAAAAAAGAGAGAAACACAAAAAAAATGCTGATGGGAAAAGGATTTGTTCAACTCCATAACTCCAGCCATAAAACCTATGTGAATATTGATTTTTGCCCTTAAATAACACAATAGAGTAGCAGGTGAAGGTGAGTATCARAGAATCTGGATAAAAGAAGTGTTTAAAGTTCTTTGGCAGAGGAGAAAACGCTCTTGAAACACCTCAGCTTACAAATCCTTCACATTCTCCATCATTGAGTAGCACCCTTCAAATTCAGTTCCAGCATTTTTCATTTTGTTAAGAGCATCACTCTAAGAGACAGAACAAATACCCTTTATATAAAACTATTAAAAGTACTGAAGGGCCCTAAAAGACGTAGAGGTTTCCTTTTCAACCCCTGGACATAATTTTTAATGATTGAAGTGAAAAATCGAGTTCCAGATCTGGGTTTTGAGAAGTTACATTTGAAAGGTTACATTTTCCTGCAGCTAAATATCAGTACAGTGCTGAAAAAATTAGTTTTAGCTTGTTCCCAGGCAAATAAAAGCCCAACAGATATCCAGGAAAACCTAAATGTCTGTGTTATCTTGCACACAATACTCTGCTTTTTTCTCTTCTGACTCCTCCTTTCAAGGGCCTCACTTGCAATAAAGGTACCACCATGGAAAAAGTTCA